TGTAAACCAGCACTTGGAGCTGGAGTGGTGACTCCTGTAGAGGCGCTGCTGGTGCTTCTCTGTTGCCCTGGGCGTTCATGTCTGCGTGCCAGCATTGGCATCCCGCTGCCCGAGGACTTTACTTGCACCGTGAAGCGCACGTACCTGGGCTCTGGGCGAGTCGGGAATGCAGGAGAATTGATGTCCACAGAGGCAGCCCTCAGCCAGCGGGCCAGGAGCTGGTGGGGAAAGGCCCAGCCTCCTCCTGCTTCCGTTGGGGTGACTGACATTTATCCTCCCCTGCCCATGTTCTCCAGGGAGGTGCAGTTGTGTTGCCACAGTGCACCCGTCTGGCTCTCCCGTCCCCTACTGGCATTTTCTGGGGTCACCTCCCAAATAAAGCACCTCCCACAGGAGTCCCAGTCTCAGGATCTGCTTCTAGGGTTACGCAAATCGAGACAGATGCTGCTTCACGCTGTTTTGAATGAACACCTCAGATGCACTCGCTGTGTTCCAGGCACAGTGCCAGGTGCTGGCAATACAGAGAACACCTCGCTGGGTGCCTGCCCTCAAGGCGCTCACAGTCACATGGAAAAGCATGGTCTAGAATAGTTAGAATCCAGCGGGTTCGGCGCTCACGTGTTCACCTCCACTTTACACTTCTCATCTCCATTTCACAAACTGAAGGGGCGGTTTGCCAAGCCCGGTAAGTGACATGACCAGGACACCCATTCAGGCCTGTGTGACTCTGCATAGCACATTTTTTCTCTCCTCTGGCTGGTCAGACGTTCCTGTCCATCTTGTCTCCTGGTGCTGAAGTCTTCTCCATTGCTGATGTTGCCGACTTAGTCATGAGCTCATTCTGTCTCACCTGGACCATTGAAATGTCCTCCTAACTGGCCTCCTGGCTTTGCTGCCTCCAATGCGGCTTCGATGCTGCCCAAGCGATCTTGGGAAGCGAGAAGCAGGCCACGCGTTCCCGCCCAGCGGGATGAGAGCCACGCTGCTCGGCCAAGACGTTGAGACTTTTCATGGCCTGACCCTGGCCTACCGTTCTGGCCTCATCATTGAAGGCACATCCCACCTCCAAACTTCAGTGAGTCCAGGGCCACTGAATCCCTTCAGATCCCCAAACTGACATCGGACAAGTTTCTGAACCACACTGGGCCTCACTCGTTAAGAGGGAGATAGCACTAAAACTACCTCACAGAGCCCTTGTGAGCATTCAGCGAAAGATTGTATACGTTGTAAAGCCCCTAGAATCCTGCCTGGCATGTTCGCACACCCAACAAATGTTGTTGACTTTAACGTTGTTAATGTTGGGATGCCTTCGTCCCCCTTTGCTTCCCAAGCTCTACTTCAAGACATCGCCAGTAGAATAGGCTATGGCCTCCGTGTGTCCCCACTTCCCCACTGTGCAGAGATTGACAACATTCCGTTCACTCCTCAGTTAACCTGTCTGTCTCCCCCCTGAACCATAAGGCCCTGATTACAAAGACTGTGTCTCACTGATCTTGTTTCCTAGAACTGAGCACAGTGCCTGGTTCCTGGTGCCTAGTTATCGTCTGGCAGGTGGATGAATGAATGAATGAATGAATGAATGGCCAAGGGAACCACTGTCACTCCCCTGACCCTGGCCTGGGATCCTCCCACTGCTCCTGGGTATGTGTGCCTCTCACTCCTGGGAAAGAGGTTGCTAATCTCGTCATCCCTGCTCCCCAACAGGCCCCCGCCCCCCGCCCGCCAGCCCCCCCCCCCCCCCCCCCGCCAGCCCCAACATCTGGCTCTGCCTGACGAAGGGCAGGATTACTGATGCCTCTCATACAGCAGGGACAGTGAAAGCCCCACCCACAGCTGTTTGGGTTTTATCAGAGGCTTTGGTGAGCCACGCCTGGTGAGGGTATTTCCAGATGGGATATTCAGAAGGGCAGCAGCCTACCCACGGGTTTGTTGAGCCTCCTCTGTCTCTTTATTTATTTCCAGGCATGAAGGCAGCAGATGGGAGCCAGTGGAGGGAGCCAGCATGACAAAGGGGTCCAAGGATGCATTCTTTCCTCTCAGAGCAGATTATTCGTGTCTGGGAAAGGCGGAGCCGAGCTGCACTGCAGGGCTGCAGGCAGTGAAGGACTTCGTGTGAATAACGAATAATCACACTAATAGGACCAGAGCCTTCCAAGCTCAGTTGCCTGTTCTCTCCAACTCGGCTGCGTGGGGGCTATTGCTGGGTGCTCCCTGCCTCCCCCGTCTGAGGCCCACCTGGCTTCCTTATTATGACTCTGATCCTAGGGATTGGCCTAAGGTTTGTCTCTGTGGAAAGACAATGGCTTGGAGTCAGGGTGGGACCTTAGTGTGGGTCCTGGCACCCCCATGATCTGCTGTGACTTTGAGCAAGTCATCACTCTTTTCTAGGCCTCAATTTCCTAATTTATACATCGGGACCCACAGTCTCAGCCCTGTGCCCCTCCTGTGGCTGCTGTGAGGGGGAATGTGATTGTGAAAATTACCTGTTTACTGGTCTGATCCTCCCACTCCATGCTCCACGAATCAGCTGCCTCCCGCACACCCCACCCTGGGACCAAGCCTGCCACCCGGGCATGTGTGCTGACCGGGAATCGAACCGTGAACTCCTGGTTCATAGGCCGAAGCTCAACCATTGAGCCATGCTGGTCAGGCATCGTTATCTTATTTAATCTTATACCAATTGCTGAGGAGAACAGGTGAAGTGGGAAAATCGAGATCCCGCCTGGGGGAGGGACGGTCCCAGGTAGACACCATGGGAAACAGCTCCAGCACCCATTTCTCTGGTTCCTCTGCACTCCTAATTCTTCGTGTGCTGTTCCCTTTATTAACTGCTACTTCACCTCGGGTGCAGTGGCAGCTCCTCCAGGCACCCTTTCCTGGCTCTCTAACCCGGGTTAGGAGTCTCCGTCCATCCTCTCTGCATCGTGAGTTTGCTTCTCTTACAGCACAGACCTGGGGTGATGGTGGAGGGTGTGTGGCGGGGGGGGGGGGGGGGGGGCGGTGCTGTCCCTCTGGGCTGGAAGCTCCCAGGGCAGGGCCATCTCTACGTTTGTGTACCCAGCACACCGCGTTGGAAATGTCTGATGAAGGAACGGAGAGTGGTTAAGTGGTTTGTTTGAGGTCACTCAACTAGGATAATAAACCTAAAAGCCAACATTTTCAAAAGGCTGAATAAGTGCACTATGAACCCAGGTTTTCGCTAAGTATTTTCACGGTCTCATACCAGGTCCTGATCAAATTGCTACGCTCTCTCCATTGCCCTCCCGGGAGTGCCTGTCCCCCATGGAGCCAGTTACCGCTGTGGGCAGTGGAAGAGGAGGTGTATGTCGGGGAGGGGGGCTCGGTGCTGCCCTACCCTGTGGTCATTTGCCCAGGGCTGCTCCTGGGGCCTCCCACTCTCTGGTGCTTCCTGTTTGCCAGGCACGCAGATGTTGCAAGTGGCAGCCTTGGGTATGTGGAGATGAATGGCCTGGGCTTGTGGGCCAGGCCTGGGCAGGATCCATCAGGATGGGGTTCAGCCCAGCTCAGTGTCATTTGAGCTTCATCCTCACCTTCTGTGAAAGAGAGGTGACAGCCCACCTTCCCAGCTGGGCTGTGGGGAGGGTGGAGGAGAGGAAGGCCTGCGGCACCACTTGGCACAGCAGAGGGGATGGTGAAGATTGACAGTCATGGCTAGTGACAAGTCCTGCTCTCCTGTATGTAAGGAGAGGTTTAAAAATCCGGTGCGGAAAGAAACACTGGGCAGGTGACTCCTAGGGAGGATGGCTTTAGACTTGTATCTTGATTACATTTCTGAGTCACCCCATTACTGGCCAGTTCACACCCAACCCACGCCCTGAACTCTGGGAGGAAAAATCACTTTCATCTCCGTTAGAACCTTCGGTTCAATTATGACTCCCCTGTGGGCAGGAACTGCGGGGAAGAGAGGAGAGAATGAAGGGTGCTCATGCTTTGGCAGGAGGGAAGGGCAGGGCAGGATGTGGTAGGGACCAGACGAAACTCTGCCCCGGTGGATGCCGATCATTGAATGAATGGCCTGTGTGATTCCCACGCCACCACCTTTGAAGATCTAGAAGTTTCCGAGAGTGGGAAGGGGAAAGGAGAATGAAGGCAAGGGCTAAGGCACACAGGCCTGTGTTGATTCTGCTCCTTCCCCGTCACTGGCCAAGGCTGCTGGCAGTACATTCAGCGAATCTATTTGACGCTAATCTTGTTGGAAGAACTTACTGTAATTGTTCACTGCGGGAGATCATCAGATTTGTGTAAATTCCGTAATGGTCTGCAAAGGCTTCATATATCTTGACAGATACACTGCTTGTGCTCTGTTCTTGAGAGAGAAGAGGAGAGTGCGGGCTGGAGGGGACCAGTGGTTTTAAGGTCCCAAGAGGTGCACAGACCTGCTTTCTTCGCTGGACTCCCACTCACAGACCCTCGTTCCCCTTCTCCTGGTGGCCTGGCTCCAAAGCTGCTAGGGATCCCCTGGGTTGGGAGGTAGGAATCTCTTAAGGATGGGGGGGTAGCTACTCCCCACTTCCCCAAATCTAATTGTCCAATAATTCCTGACCCAATAAGCCAGAGGTTCTCAACCTGTGGGTCGCAACCCCTTTGGGGGTCAAACGACCCTTTCACAGGGGTCGCCTAAGACTATCAGAAAACACATATATAATTACATATTGTTTTTGTGATTAATCGCTATGCTTTAATTATGTTCAATTTGTAACAATGAAATTGGGAGTCACCACAACATGAGGAACTATATTGAAGGGTCATGGCATTAGGAAGGTTGAGAACCACTGCAATAAGCCAATAGCATTACCTTTCAAAATCTTTGTAGTCCCTGTAGCAACCAACTTGGTTCTTACCAGTATGTTTGTAATTTTCAATTACTAATAGAATTATTTCCTGCTTACATTTTAAAGTCAAAGAAATACTTATTCTATGCAATTTCTTGTGCCTAGAAAATGTGCCATGAATAACAACCATAATAAGTAAGCATAATACACAGAAACAGCAGGGTTTTTTATTTATTTGTTTATAATAATAGGAACTGGATTCTTGGAGCAAATGGTGGGAGGTCACAGGTAAAAGGCAGAATGCTATGATCTGGGCAACAGGGCAGTTTGTCGCATGATGAGTTCTGGAGGGCATGCCTTTATACTTTATTCATGCTGACATGCAACCACCAATCTCCTTTCCCCAAACAAACAAGAGACAGATCCAACTCCAATCTAACCCAAGCCTAAACAAGCCTATCATTTCATCATAAAATACAATCTATGTGGCCCACCATCAGGCTCTGTGGATTTGGGCATGTGTGTGGTTAAGGATCTAAGAAGACAGGGGAGGAGATGGGTCCTCAAGAGGACGGGCTCTGAGACTGGAGGCTGGTCATGAGCTCAGGGGAGGACAGCTAAGGTCAGAGAGGTGGAGCAGATGGAAACCCAAGAGTCACTTCAAAGAGAAGAGCCATCCAACTCGATGTCAGATCACGTATGGGGTGGGGGAGGGGAGGGCTGAGGCATGATAACGTACAAACTGTAGAAGTGTTAGCTTGGGGGCTAGAAAATGGTGGTATGATGAGGAGAAATGGAACCGTTGAGGAAGAGGGACATTTAGTTGGATGAGAAGATACATTCAGTGGTAGTGACCTTGGGGCAACTAACTGGAATGTCCTGCATTAGTGGTAGGCATCAGACTGGACTGAGCAATCATGGCAGAAGACAGAGACTTAAGGATTATTCACATCAGGAACATTTAGGGAGCCCCTGCGCGTGCCAGGAATTCAGGCAACTGCCAGGTGTAGGGGTGCCTGGGACCACAGTCAGAAGGATGGCCCAGATCTGTGTTTCAGTCCCACTTTGTGCGTGACCTTGGGAAAGTCATTTCATGTTTTCCCATCTTAAGAAAGGGAATGAATGTATCTGGCACATAATTCTCAGTAATAAAGGGCCCTGGCTGGTATGGCTTGGTTGGTTGTTTGGAGCGTAGTCCCACACAACAAAAGGTGGCCAGTTCGATTCCTGGTCAGGGCACATGCCGGGTTGTGGGCTCGATCCCCAGCAACAGATCAATGATTCTCTCATCATTGATGTTCCTATCTCTCTCCCCCTCTCTGAAATCAATAACAATATTTTTTTTAAAAAGAGAAGTTTTGACAAACCAGAGGGAGGTTGGATGACACCACTAGACCACACCTTCCATCCACGCAAGATTTATTTCCTGAGGCAAAAGTACCCAAAGCCTCCTACCTTGTTCCTTGAAGCTAATGTCCCTGGGGCTGACACCGAAGCAAGATGTATTAATACCCATGATGGGTGATCAGCCTTCAATAAGTAATGCTGGTTGTTCTAATGTACCTGGCATGAAATATTCAGAGCTATCAATGTGTTTCCATTTAAATAGTCACCAGGGCTTCCGTCCAAATCAGTGGTGAGCTTACGCTCTCTCATCTTTTCTTGCACAGATCAGATGTGAAGGCGGAGAGTTCCAGGAAAAGGCATCAGTGGCTGACCCTGGGCAGAAAGAAGGCGGGGAGCCAGGCCCAGGCGGTGCAGGAGGATATGATCGGGAAGTGGCCAGGGTCCGCACTTGGGCCAGGACTCCTGCCCTGGCCTGGCACTGGCTACACTGAAGGACTCAACTGGTCATGGGGAGCCAGGTCGGAGCATTATAGGATGTCTTCCCCGGCCCCTGGCTGTAAGCATTTAAAATGCATCCACTCTCTCTCGAGGCTTTATAGGAACCTGGGAGAGTGGGGGACTCGGGATGGCCAGGTAGAGTGGGAGTCAAATTCCCAGGCAGTGGGACCTCCACAGGAAACGTTGGCTGGTGGAGATTTGAGAAGGCCACGCTCAGATAGCCTGTGGACAGGGAGGTGGTTGACAGGTCTGTAAATCACGTCTGCTCAGGAGCTGTGGTCCTGACTGGCAGGTGGTGAGCTGGGGAGAATCTGAAGGGTGAGCTGACAGTAGCGAGTCATTCTGGAGCTAGTGGGGCGGCCATGCTTCCCGCGTCTTCTGTTTTTCTGACGCCGGCTCCCTAAGGGAAGGCTGGAGAACCACAGTCACGCTGTGATGTGGGAGACTGGTGAGCACTCTGCCTTCCTGAGTTAAACATTCACTTGCATCTGAGTGACGACCAGGAGGGGAGCCTGCTGTCCCCAGGAGGCTTCCCTCCAGGAAGGAGGGGGGGGGGTGGGTGGGAGTTGGGGGGCTGGCAGGACTCCACAAGCCACAGCTCTGTCCAGTCCCAGCAAAATCGCGACTTGAGCCCTAACCGGTTTGGCTCAGTGGATAGAGCTTCCGCCTGTGGACTGAAGGGTCTCAGGTTCAAGTCCGGTCAAGGGCATGTACCTTGGCTGCGGGCATATCCCCAATAGGCGGGTGTGCAGCAGGCAGCTGATCGATGTTTCTAACTCTCTATCCCTCTCCCTTCCTCTCTGTAGAAAATCAATAAAATATATTTTTTTAAAAAATCGCGACTTGAGGCCACTCGTGCTCTGCTCTTCCAGGTCACACTCACCTCCCTTTCACCAGAATGCGGCTCTCAAAGAAACAAAAATAAGTATTTACGCCCGGTCAGCGCGGCTCAGTGGTTGAGCATGGACCTATGAACCAGGAGGTCATGGTTCGATTCCCGGTCAAGGGCACATGCCCAGGTTGCAGGCTCCATCCCCAGTGTGGGGCTTGCAGGAGGCAGCCGATCCATGATTCTCTCTCATATTGATATTTCTCTCTCTCTCTCTTGCTCCCCCTTCCTCTCTGAAATCAATAAAAACATATATACACATATATTAAAAAATAATTATAATAATAAATAATAAATAAATAAATGAGCCCTGGTCGGTGGCTCAGGCAGTTGCAGCGTCATGGGTGTGCAAGGGTCTCTGCCCGCGGGTGGGAGCATGCGCACAGCCGGTGGGCCCCGGCCCTCCGCGCGCACCTCCGCCCGGTCCCTCCTCCGGGCCCACTACCCGCCGCTGGGCCGCCTCCCTCCCCGGCGCCCAAGGCGTCTGCTCACCCGGAGGCCTGGGGTCCGCTCGTGCCGCCGCCCACCGGACCTGTTCGCGCGACCCTGGCGTCGAGCGTGTGCGTGGCGCGGCGGAGCTCCCTCCCGCGCCCACGCCGCGCCCACGCCGCGCCGCTCTCCCGCCTCTGCCCCACCCCCGGGTCGGAGCGTGCGCGCGGCGGGTGGGGTCACCTGCGCCGCGGCCCCTTCCCCTGGAAGCGCGCCCCCTCGCGGGCAGCTCCCGCACGGCCGCGCGCCCCGCCACGTGCGCCCCCGCAGCCTGTGAGGCTTCTGCCGGAGCAAAGGGGACAGCCGCCGAGGACGAGGACGAGGACGAGGACGGAGGCGGCGCCCGGGGCCTGACTCAGGTGCGGGGCGCGGGGAGGAGCGGGGCGCGGGGAGGAGCGGGGCGCGGGGAGGAGCGGGGCGCGGGGAGGAGCGGGGCGCGGGGAGGAGCGGGGCGCGGGGAGGAGCGGGGCGGCGGCTGGACGTGGAGGGCGGGGCCGGGTTTGAATGGACGCGGGCGCACCGGGGGCGGGACGAGGTGCTGTGGCCTCGCTCTGGGGTCCAGTGACCTCAGGGAAGAGCTCAGACCCTCAGGGCCACTGTCCTGTTGCAGAACCGGCCTCATAGGCGCTTTGGGGAGCGGGCCTGGTCCTCGCCGAATGGGGCGGGTTGCAGACAAGTCGGGGAAGGAGCAAGTCAGAGGTGGCAAGACTGGTCTGAAGGGCTGGGGTCGGGGGGCGGTTGGAAACACGGAGAAAGGGGACTGCAGAGGGGCCACATGTTTGTGGGCACTGAATGTGCGACAGGGTATCTTATAGGTAGCAGGGTGTTTCTTTTGGGGGGGGGCTGGGGAGACTGATTTTATGCTAAGCTTTTCACCTGCATCCTCAGGACCCACCCTGTGAAGTAGATTTTATTAACAAATAAGGAACCTGAGTCCTAGCCGGTTTGGCTCAGTGGATAGAGCATTGGCCTGGGAACTGGAGGGTCCTGGGTTGGAGTCTGGCCTCGATCCCCAGTAGGGGGCGTGTAGGAGGCAGCCGATCAATGATTCTCTCTCATCATTGATGTTTCTATCTCTCCCTCTCCCTCTCTGAAATGAACAAGAAATGTGTGTGTGTGTGTGTGTGTGTGTGTGTGTGTGTGTGTGGTGTGTGTGTATATCTATAATAATAAAAGGGTAATATGCTAATTAGACCAGACGTCCTTCCGGATGAAGCCGGGGCCAGAGCGAAGCCCAGGTCCCAGGTCGGCGGGAGCAAAGCCCAGGTCCCGGGTGCCTGCCTGCAGCCAAAGTTATGAAGCCTGGGTCCTGGGTGCTGGAGGGAAGCTGGTGCCAGCAGCCAGGGGAAGGAAGGCCTACTCTTGCACGAATTTTCGTGCATAGGGCCTCTAGTGTGTGTGCATGTATCTATCTATCTATCTATCTATCTATCTATCTATCTATCTATCTAATCAAATAAGGAACCTGAAGCTCAGGTTCAGCACATTTCTAGAAGTCACGGTGCTTACGAGAGAAAGGCCAAAAGAGCCTCCTAGCAGGCTAGCTGGAAAAACAGCAATAGGGAAGGTGCTGAGAGGAACCGGGTTGAGGGAGCTGGAGAAGGTGGTAGGAGAAGCAGGTATGACTTTTAATGTTTTCCCACATGTCATCCTGGCTTTAGAGTTGACAGGAGCTCGGGAATTACAGAGCCAGCCTCCCACATTCTGCAGGCGCGGAAGCTGGAACCCAGGGGCTGGAAAGACTGACCTAAAGCCACGCCGCTAAGGCATGGTTTGAAACGGGATTTCCGCACACAAATCTTTACTGCAAACCAGAGGGGATACAGTGCCCTCTAGTGTTTTCCATTCAATCTTACACCCCCCGCCCCCCCTCATATTTCTGTTTGAAAGGTTGAGAACAACTGGACATGGTGCAAGGTGGTCTCCTCAGGTAACCGTAGAGTTATTTGCAAACTCAGGAAGATTTCAAGCAAGTGTTCACTTCAGAAATTAGGGACATGGATGAGAAACACCATGTTTGGTATCTTTTCATGTGCTTATTTGACAGTCATATACACTCTTTAAATTTTTTAAATTAATTGTTTGGGGAGAGAGAGAGAGAGAGAGAGAGAGAGAGAGAGAGAGAGAGAGAAGAAACATTGATTTGTTGCTTCACTTATTCATGCATTCTTTGGTTGAGCCTTGTATGTGCCCTGACCAGGGATGGAACCTGCAACCTTGGTGTATCAGGACAATGCTCTAACTAACCAACTAAGCCGATGGGCTGATAATCATTTATATTTGCACATTAGGCTTTTATTATACAGGAGGATTAGAGTCCTATACTAGTGGATGACATAAAAAGAAAGGACCTGTTTGGAAAGACATATGAAATAATACTTGTATTATTAAGAGGTCCCAGAGGGTTAAAATGTACACCTCGTAATACCTCATTTGTAGTTATGATTAAAACAGGCCCTGAGTAGATGGGCAGCGAAGAGACAACGCACACGAAAGGAGTAGACGACTACACAAGTGGAAGGGAAATGTTAATCTTTAAGAATTTTCTTCGCCGAGACCGGTTTGGCTCAGTGGATAGAGTGTCAGCCTGCAGACTGAAAGGTCCCAGGTTCGATTCCGGTCAAGGGCATGTACCTGGGTTGCGGGCATATCCCCAGTGGGAGATGTGCAGGAGGCAGCTGATCGATGTTTCTCTCTCATCGATGTTTCTGACTCTCTATTTCTCTCCCTTCCTCTCTGTAAAAAATCAATAAAATATATTTAAAAAAAAAAAAAAAGAATTTTCTTCCTAGTGTGATGGCATTTAATTAAAAAAATACATTTACTGTTTTTCCTTGGGCAGGGTGTCTTCTATGATGATTTAAAAATAATTTTTTACAATAAAAATGTCTCTTAATTATAAAAAATTTAGAAAAATGTTCAATGAAAATACCCAATCCTGATGAAGTAGGGGGGTGAAAAAGGCCATAGCAGCACACATTGATACAGAATCTGTTTGAAAAGCCAGAATTTCATGGAAAAACAACGGGATAGGTTTTATACTATTCTTAGAATATGCGTGTGCTACTTCCCTAAGTTCCTTGATAGTGAGGTAGTGTGTGCATGACAGCAGACTGGAAGGGTCAGCCTCGGAGGGTGTCCGTCCTGTGGCGTCGGGGAGGTATCCCTCTGCTGCAGCCCGCCCAGCAGTTTTCAGTGTCCTGTGTCAGATCCCTTTCGGCTTAGCGTCCCCGGGACACCTAGAGGGGCGTTGGTTCCTTGGACAGAATCCTCACCGCCGAATGGGGTGGACGGTGTAAGGGATTCACAGGACGAAAACAGCATCCCAGTGGGAGAGGCCGAAGCTGTCCATTACTGCGAGCTTCTCTCACGGCAGCCTAAATCCCCCCTAATGCAACTAAGCATACAGCTAAGCCTGTTGACTTATTTCCAAGCCCTTGTGGAGCAGCTACATGTGTTGAGCTCCAATTCAGACGTCAGAGATTAACGTATCTGCTAAAGAAAGCTGCATCTTAGCCCAGCCTGCTTGTGCCTGGGACGTGACTGTGGACGCCCCCCCCCCCCCCTCCGCCCCATGGGTGCTGGTTGAAAGGCTCCGAGTCCCCGGAAGAAGTTTTGGCGGAAGTTTAAGTGAGGTTGGGCAGTACCACTTGCCCACATGCGATTTTGTCCCTTGAAGCTCTGCAGCAAAAAGAGATGACTGCCTATGGTGGGGGATCAGCCTTTCATAAACCATGCTGGCTGTTCTACTCTGGTTGCCTGCCGTGAACTAGTTAGAGCTAAAAAGGCATTTCCGTGTCAGTGGCCACCAGGCTGAAACAACGGCTTCACTCCAGTTCAGTGGTGGGCGCGGGTGGCATCGTATATTTGCACAGGGTCGGTGTGGCGCACAGACGGAGAGTGTCAGGAAGAGCACCAAGTGGCCCCTCCCAGGCCCAGGGTGGGGGACTGTGTGGTCCAGGAATACGATGGGAGGAGTGGCCAGGGCCCTCATTTCGGGTGGAGGACTTGTGTGTCCTGTCCCTAGTGTGACCCCGGCCTGCCGAGGGACTCGTGCGGTCATGGGAAGGCAGATCAGGGCATTTTAGGATGTATCCCCCAGTCCTTGATTTTAAGTATTAAAAATGCTACCAGGCTCTTGAGGTCAGATCAGGGGACACGAGAGAGCGGAGGGGTCAGTATGAACACAGCTGGGAGTGTGGCTCCAATGACGGGGCGTTCAGTTCTGCACAGGAAACTCGTAGGTCAGGAGGTTTGGGAAGGCTCAGCTCAGAGGCCTGTCGGTGCAGAGCTCGTTGCGTGTCTGCACGTCTTGTCTGCGGAGCTGGAGTGCTGGTTGGCAGGTGTGAGTGGAGGAGTCTGAAGGGTGAGTGGACAGAAGTGAGGGCGCGGCGGTCTTGACGCCCGCCCTGTGCTTTTATCATTAACCCCCTCCCCCAGAGTCTCTGTGAAAAAGAGACCCTGTCCTGGGAGGGGGTGACTGCTTCCCCACCGGCCACCAGGGGGAGCAGCTGCTTCGCCGGTGACTAATCAGTGCTTCTCAACCGTCTGGCCCTTTAAATACAGTTCCCCATGTGGTGACCCCCCAACCATAAAGTTATTTTCGTTGCTACTTCATGACTGTCATGTTGCTACTGTTATGAATCGTCATGTAACTATCTGATATGCAGGATGGTCTTAGGCGACCCCTGCGAAAGGGTCGTTGGACCGCCAAAGGGGTCGCGGCCCACAGGTTGAGAACCGCTGCGTGTAGGGTCTCCTGTTCAAGCGCGCATGCGCTTGAGTCAGGCTGCGTGTCAGTGCTTCCGAATCGATCCTGAATTTTGCCTTTTGCGGCGTTCCCTCCACGGATTGAAAGGCTGTTGTCGACGCGAGTGCCTTTGCTAATGCGGGTGGTTTTGACTGTGGGCTGTTCGTTGCACACGTCAGGCGGTCAGGGAGGAAAAGACTTCCTTCCACCTTCACGGTTCTAATAAAAGACACGAGGCAGATGAACAAGAGAAAATGACCCAGTTTCATGCCATGCGTATGTGTGGGAACCCCGCTTCCATGAGAGGGTCAGAGACAGAGCGGGGGGCTTGTGTACAAAACATCCCAGCCAGGGGTGAGGCCATGCACCTTGGGGCTTCAGAAGGCCATTGCACAGAGAGAGCGGGTTCAGCATTAACAGTTCACCCTGCCGTATAGCCAGGTAAAAAGTCCTTTCTGGTCAGCTCTTCCGCTGGGCCAGTCTCCTAATTTAAATTCTTCTACGTAGTTAAGGGGGGAAGGGGCAGGGGTTTCTCTTGAGCCTGCAGGGGCTCCGTTGCCTTTAGTTCAAAATAATCCGCACACCATTGAGGC